CTGTAGGCGCCGGGTGCACGCGTGTCTACAATGGACACGCAGCGATAAAGGCTGCAGCTCCCAAGCGAGAGACGCTCTCGCTGTACGAAGCAAGATGACAAGCCAAATCTTGTCATCCTGAAGGTGAGATTGATCAGAGCAGGCTCTTTTCGTGCTTGGGTAGCCTCAGCTGCGCCGAACAACTTCTCCGACAGGAAAGTTTACCGAAGCTGAACTTCGAGGAAATTAAACACTTCTAAATGTTTTGGAAGTTCGGTTGGCAACCGGTGTCACCACTAGGACGGAGAAGCGCGTCGTACAAACACCGAAAGTTTGTTGAGATCGTTATCGTCTTGGATCTAGACGATAAGTTTGACTTAGTGTTGGGTATTCTGTGGCTTGCTCGGCATAATTCAGTGGACAAGTGCGAGAAGCATACGCTTGTACGCTTCGGACGCAACGCGACAGACAGCGATGACCTTGCCACTGTATCGCATGCATCGCACGGTGCATCCGACCACGTCGTTGATGCAGTGCGGAAAGGTTTTGCCTCCTGTGCTAACACGCAAGTCACAGCGACTGCGGCGGTTGTTGGGTCTGTCCCAAATCAGGATTCAGATTTGAGATATCTTCCTACTTCAATGCAAGTATCAACTCAGGGAGTCGATGCATTAACTAAGATAGTCTTTTCGCTCACAAAAAATGTCTGTGACGATAGCGCATCAGTTCCGGGAACTGGTGCATCGAATATGCAAGGGACTCCAGCTACAAGCAGTAGCTATGATGTCAGTGTGTCAGCTCGGGGAGTTGGCACGACTGTGATTGGACAACAATCACGGAGGGCTCCGCCGTAAGGCATCGAGGTGACAAGGACATGGGAGTCGACACAAACTTGATATCCATATCGAGGAGGGACTCCGCCGCAAGGCGTCGAGGAGACATTAGCGCGTCAACTCCGGGAGGTGGCGACGCGGCAAGCGGTGCCGGCGGTTACCGACGTCCAGTACTGGAAATTCTTGCATGCTCACGTGCAGCCGACCTGCACGAAGAAGAGGAATGCAATCAAGTCGAACTTGATCATTCACGTCCGCCGATAGAATCTGTTGACGGTTACATCAACGGAAATACGTTCAAAACCGAGCCTGGACGAGAAACAGGTGAAGCCGGGTTTCACAAGAAGAAAAAATGATGTCGTAAGCGACACAAACTTCGTAAGTCTCTGTCCCCGACCAAGACTTGCTACGAGAGATGTCTGCCGGGCAGACCTTGGAGAAGACGTCGAGGGTCGAGACGTTGAATGTCTTGACGCGGACCTGTACTGCATTTCAGTACAGGTCAATGCAATTGAAGAATCCTCCGACGCAGGTGTCCAGCAATGAGCTGAACTCGCTTCGCGAAGGACCTGTTCGATGGGCACATCGAATAGATACATTTCACGTACAATCCGAATAAATGTACCAAGAATAAAAGATTACTTTGGGACATGGATCGGACATAGCCCTATGTAAAATCACACGGCGGATCCATTCCTGCAATCACCAAGAAGCGAAATAGAGTTTCATAGAATTCCATACTACGTAGTAGTAACGTATCACTTGGGCTTGCTAATATATTAATTAATAATACGTGTAGTGTAGTTAGTACGAATACCTTGGATTTGCTTGAATACACATTGTTGAGCC